GAGATGGGGGTCAAAGTTTAGCTGAAGATAATATGAGGCTTCAGGAGTCTGAGCTAGCATCTTCCAAAGTCACAGTCTGTTTGGTACAAGTTTGCATCCTAAAACCTTAATTCTGTTGTCTGCTGACTTTTCCTCTCACACCACAATGAGGTTCCCATTGGAGGCCTTCAGTGAAATGTCTCAACAACTGTTGGATGGCTCACCATGACATTTGGTTCAGACATTCATGTCCAGTTCAAGATGAATTTTAATTCATCAATCAGGTTAAAATTTCAGTTTGTCTGCTGTCTGATTGTGAGGTCAGGCTGATCTGATATCAGCTCTTTGGCCTGAAGTTTCTCCTCAAAGTTCTCCTCTCTAACGGGTCTTGGGGTAGATCAGACGTCCTTCATCAGACGTCCTCCATAAGACGTCATTTCCAACTTCCGGTTTCGGTTCAACCGGAATCGAGGACATGACAATTAAGAGACTTGGGATGTACCCTAGGTACCAAGTCTCTTATTTGTCATTTCCTCATTTCCTCGGGCAACAACTTCCGGTTCAAGCGAGGATCGTTTCCTCGCTCCTGGCTCGAACCATATTGACGGCCGTCCCAAAGCTCTTATTTCTGCTCTGAGGAGCCATGAGTGAGGAACAGACTTCCAGGAAGTGTTTTAACGGCCGACACGCCCCCTCATTGTTCATCAGTCATGTGATTGGACGCTGCAGCCGATCGGACTGACGAGATTTGTTTTCAACATGTAAACAGTGAATTCAACATCTGGTTTAAATAAATGTTCATTGTAGACTGAAGAACAAGAAGACCACAAACAACTTTCTTCATTTATTAGAAAGATTTGTGTTTTCATAATCTGATGTTTCCCTCAATAACTTTTATTATGGAAACAATTAAAGTCAGAGGGAGCTGGAGAGACGAAACACTTTTTACATCATTTAGCATCATTTCATTCAGTCACGTGAGGCTGTTCATTCCTGATTGTCGGGTTTGATGAGTTTTATCATTTAAGAGAAACAATCATATTCTGGGTTATTTAATATCGACGTCACAATCTGAATTTGAAAACGTACAGACGCAAATAATTCATAAATAAGACGATGGCATTCCGCCGGTAGAAATCGATCCTGCGCTTACAAACAGAACACACACAGTTTATGAACAGACTACAGAGAGAAACTTTTGATTAGAAGTGTTTTGCTGCCATTTGGATCAGTATTACTCCGTCCTTTATGTTGCTAAAGAACTGATTGTACCTCTTTACATAGTGTGCCACTGACATATACGGCAAATAGGAGCTGTGGTTTTGCTTATGAAAATGCAAAAAGGAACAGGTTTGTCGTCAACGGTACTGGTAATAGCAGTTTAACAACAATGCTGTGGAAAGTGAGACTTCTTCTCCGTTTAAGAAAGATACAAAAATGTTCTCTCTTCGACAGACCATCATAAGGAGCTTTACAATGCTATGTTTCTTAAGAGCCTCTCATTGGCGGCATGCAGGTCGATACTTTAGGACAACTCTCTTATTGATCCGGCAGCAGGTGTCCAAGGTTGTTTTTTTTTTTTTTTTAAAGGATACAACAATAAATGTGACAAAAGCTAAATGATTTCCTGCCTGGCTGGAGTCTCAGCGCAGGGTTTCGACAGATGCTGTACTGTGCACTATAGGGTCGAGCCTGCACTCACCAACCTTTAATAAACTTTCTCAAACATGAAACACTTTTCTGGGACGTTGGAGGCAGTAAGTTCACACAGTGTAGAGGCAGTTCTCTTTCCCACCGGAGACTCTTGTCATGAGGGAAAAAAAAAGAAAAAACAAAAGGGAACCACAGAAATACAAGGACGAGCAGCATTCTGGCTCTCAGCGGTTATTACTGCCTTTGGTGTCCCTCAGAAGAATAATTGGGGCTTACATTGCAGTGTGAAAGGGGTCAAAGGGCAGGTAAAGTATCTGACACAGCAGGAGGATCAGTGAAGGTAACCTCAATCACAGAATCATTTTATTCTTCACCCGGCTTTCATTTAAAGATCTAATAAAGCGGGCAATTAGTTCCTGCATTATAATTTAACACAAAAGTATAGACGAGCTTTGAAACACAAGTTGTCCTTCTGCTTTCTGAGGCCTCTTTTAAAAAAAAAAAAAGTTGATAATACATACAATACGACACGGCACTGATTGGCTACATGCTGCTTACTTGTGCGTCAGGGTCCCGTGGGTTGAACACAGCTGCATAATTATTAAATCCGGCTGCCTGTCAATACACGTGTTGCTGCATTCAGACAGAAACTGGTATAAATGACATCGTACAAGGTCTCTGATTGAACAACAAGGAATGACTAACAAGTAACACAATAACGCTGTGAAGGCCACGAGTCTCTATGGAAGACCAGAAAGGTCATGCGTACAAATGAGATTTGTTTATTTAAGCAGGAAAATGATTCTATGATCTTTATATTAGTTTGTTTTCTTGGGATCACAACTTTGATAAAATACATTATCTGAGAAAAATGCAGTAATTAAACACATACTGTAAATTAACCATTGGTTGTGCTTCAGAGTGAAGAGATGAGCTGATGGGACATGAAAACAGGAAGACAGAAATGTAATCAACTTCTGCAGAATATATGAACTTTTACCAAACCTTACATTACCCGACACTAGTAGCAGCTGTTTAAAAACAACAACCTTAAAGTAAAAGCAGCACACATTAATAACCAAGAAAAAGGCAGATGTTAATTAAAGGTTGACTACGCATAATTAAGAAATGCAAATTGTAATTGAACTCAGGACAGCAAGCTGCTCACAGGTTTGGGTCATTCTACGGCAAGACATGCAAATGTCAAACTGTTAATGAAGCGACCATCATCTTTCTGTGTAAGTCGTGTGAAGAGTTGGGCCTATAGGTGTCTTAAGTCTTTTTGTAATTTTAATGAAAACACCATCAAGCTGGCTGTATGTACTTTACACTCAGGTGCCACTTTATTAGGTACACCGAGCCAAAACTAAAAGGCCAACACAACAGTCCTGCAATAAAATCTGCTGACACGACTCATGAATCATAACCGTTTGATTTTACTTTGTTTCAAGGCTGCGGTTTGACAATCGTGTTCCACCAGCACACAAAAAATAACTGAAACCAACTTAAAGATCACTTTATAGTTTCTCATTTGCAGTCAGACTTCAAAAAATTTGACAAGGGCCGACCTTTTTTGAAAAAAAAAACAAAAACAACAATCTGATAAATGGAGTGAGTGTTAGAATGAAAGTCACCCAGATCGCACAAAGTAACTTCAACTTCAGAGGAATCTATTTGAAACATCCGGGATGGAAAAGAGAAAAAGCCTGAAGGTCATTATGGTGAGCACGTAAACAGAAATACAAAAAGAAACTTCAGTAGTGCAGAGTGACGGAAAAACTTAACCTCATTGTTTTGTGTCAACGTGAAATCAGCTTTACCTTCAAAACTAAATAATCCACATAGAGAAACAGACTTCAATAAACTGCATAAATGTCAAATATACCCAAATGATTATGTTTAAATACTTTTTATTCTATTTGTGCATTGCGGTTGGAATATGTGCCGACACAGATTATTACAGAAAATGCCACAATAAGTCAGTAACATCACAGCAATAATATTTCTGCTGAGTCCAAACACTGACTTCATGTTTCGTGGTTTAGGCAAAAACAGGAAAAATAACAGGTCGAGCTGAAAGTAAAAAAATAATAAATATTTCCACTTCATATTTAAAAACCACAGGCATTGAGTACATGTCCAAACCATTACAGATGTGTCTGAGCTTTTGGGGAACAGCACATCTGTTCAGAAAAAAACAAAAAAAAAAAAAACTTTTTGGTTTCATTTGAGTTACAAGAATACATTTAACATTGTTCGTCGGCAGCCAGTGGCCACTACACACTCTTCTCGTTTCACACGTATTTACTAGTTTTACCAGACTGCTAAGTAATTATAGCTTCAGTTACATTTAAGGCAAACTTAATATGAGGTGGACGTCTCACAGAAGGGTTAATTTGACAGTTAGATAAATATAACTAACAATATACGGTATGTATATAAAAGGTATAATGTAAAGTTCTTCAACTTTAGATTTTCGCCAAATTATCAGTGACATTAATGTCTTTATGAAAACGAATGGCATCTTGCACAGTCCTCCAAACAGTTAAGGTAAAAGTATTTGTATGTACATCGAAGTAAAAAGGCTTATGCCTCAATTTCAGGTTTCTGGGGCAGAAATGATGGCAGTGATAAAAACTGATCGTCACACACAGCGCCTCTGACTGACTGATCACAAAATGTATCTGAACTGCTGTAACATAGTGAACTGTTGGGATATGGAAAATGATTTGTTAAAAAAAAGTTAAATATATGAAATTCATTAAGAAATCTTGTCGCAATATGTTCTGGGCACTTCCAGTAGAGGGCGCTATAAGACGTTTATCTCTCATATCGTTACACGTTAAACTACCGCCGGGTTGATGAGTCATCCTGCAGCCTGAACCGATACCACACACTTCATTTTGGTATTGGAAGTCTTATGGTTTCTGTAGTGACTGATTCCTGTAACTAGCCACTCAGCTGGGTGCGGGAGAAGATCGTGTTCCTTACTCACTACAACAAAGAGATTCCAGGCTTTTCGCACTTTTGGGTGAGGTTCCCCTTTAATTAGCATTCACAGATGATATCACTTAGCTTCCTGGTCTCCCTCTGGTGTGTCTGGTTTGCGGTAAAAAACGTGCAATCTTCTGAGGAAATGGGCTGTGGATTTAATGGTCTTGGCCAATCCAACTCTTACATGCTAGGAAGTTATCCACCGTCAGACCTCTGAAGTCCTTTGGTTATGATGCAGCGGTCCACTTTAAGCTCTGCCACCATCTCCAGATCCAGCAGCCATCCTGTCCATTGTTGTGAGAATGTCTGGGGAATATGGTCGTCCCAGGACATGTTTTTTTCCACACCTTTCTTGCAACAACAGGTTTGGTCTGCAGCACCTCATCACCTTTCTTCGATTTCAACTGCACTGGCACAATCGAAAGAGTACAGTCTTTGTAAAACCACATGCCTGAAGAGATACTAGTGAACTATTTACTGCGATTTCCTGTGGTTTGTGAATGCTGTCTTTGTCCTGTATATGTAGAATAGTTGGGTGTTTTAGATTGCATTCCTCACAGGTCAGACGACTGATGCATTCCTTAGTCATGTCGCTGGCCTTCAAACATCCAAAACAGATTCCTTTTCCTTTCTGAAATTCAATTTTCTCCCTTTGAGAAACTTTATTCAGCTTTGAACACCTGGATAATGGATGCGACTCTTGACAATAAAGGCAGGATTCTGAGGATGACTCCTTAGTTGTTACAGGCGGCTTTGGCGTCTCGTGCACTGTGGGCTTAGGAGTTACAGTTTGGTTGGTAGTTGTGATGGTTGTTGCAAAGCTACGTCTTTTGATGTTATCCCCGGGTAGCGGTTTGCTCCTATTTATAGCCGTTATTAAGGTGTTTGGTCGTGCATCGGAAATATCGCCAAAAAGTGGATGAGACAAGATCTTGACTTGCTTCTCCAGAGAGTTCACCATATCTGGGAACACGGCCCTGTGTTTGAAGTCCGATTTACCCGTCCTTATGGTGCACAAGGCTTTTGGTATTTGTAGTCCGATTAGTATTGACCAACCACATTCGAGCAGGCGTTGGTTGAATGTAGTCCATGTGAAGAGCAAAACAGGCAGAATGCATTGGCCAGTATGTATTCTGTGAACCCACCGGCTATCGTCGGACGATGATTTAGCTTTTTATTGGTTTAAAATGATCATGTAAACTTGTAGTTGTACACATCTCTCAAATCCATCTCCACAACCCAAGTTGCTATTCTGACTGTAAACAATGAGCAGTGCATGGCAAATTAAGTCTTGGTCGAGATATAAGATGCTTGATAATCAAAATGACAAAGAAAAACAAAAAACGACCAACTAGCTTGGTCATAAAAAACTACAAGAAATCTTGAAGACTTACCAAATTATGAATGACACGATGGATGCTTGATTGTTCTCCAAACAACAAATGTGTTCTAAGTTTCGGATGATTTACAGTTAAAAGGCCGGTGAAAATCAACCATCCACGTGTCTCCTTGTCCTTAAAGAGGACAAAAGCGCATTGAACAGTGTGCGGAATAAACTCCTCATCACATGTATAATAAACTGCTGCTTTACGCCTTTCCTTCTGCGCTGATATACTGCAGTTACATTCGTTTCCAGCGATATACATCGTGTCCCTGTAAGCTGCGCGTACTGTGCCTTTGTAGAAGAAGAAATGGCCTTTAATTGCACTTGAGCTCAACACATTTCAGCAGCTGCACCCCAAAACCTTGTCAAATTAACCCATTATGTTCGCTTAAGTCATGAGAAATACATACAATTCACCATTTGGGTCGTCAGTGGTCTTTGGCGTTAAGCGCTGCCTTTATCAGCTGATCTCATTTGGCAATCAAATAAAAAAAGCATGCTTTCTGTAGCACGACATATCTTTCTCAAGTAAGGATCTACTGGTGAGTAAGTGGATAAAACAGTAACTTAGAATATAAAAAGTGTTGGTTTATTAAAGATATGGTTTCTGTTAAGTTTCTTTTTCTTACTGAATTCTAAGAAAAACAAATATATTTCCTGAATAACAAAACGGAGAACTGCTTCGGCACAATTTTCTCTCCACCTGTTCATTCAGTGGCATTCAACGTCAGGCTATAAGAGAAGAGAAGAGTTTAAAAACGGGTTCAAACGGAGAGAAGCCGGCTCCTCCCGATGAGTGAGAACAATTCATTGTTTGGTCCGTACGCTTGAGAACCAAGAAAAGGTGCATGTCAATATTTCCTTGCACTCTAACACTTCAGAGCTGCTTCAACGTTATCGGTACTGGCGGCTTGTTGTTCACTCAAACACTCCTTGAGGAGAGAGGCAGAACTTTCTATCCACTTAATAACCCGACTTCACAACGTTAAGGAATAAGTGGATACAAATGTTCTAGTCCAGGAATTAAAAAAACAGTAATAATTGGGGGGAAGTAATGCGGTGTCAACCTAAGTTTGCTGAGGTAATAAACTACATCACTGGAAAAACAGGCACACACACATGGACAGTTACTCACAGGTAAAGACCGTAACATTCACCAGAGGGCTGTCAACAAGACGGTTATTTGAGATACCGTTCCGCAAAACAGAGCCTTACTCTGCCAGCGTATTGCAGTATATGCTTTTAAGACATTTATCTCCACTCACCAGACCGCAATGTGCTCACGGCATTTCTATATATTCCCGAAAAACGTGAGGACGAAGCTGCAGATGGAGACCCACGTTAGAAAGAAAGCGCAGACCTCTCTAGGATGCGGAGAATAAGTGCAAAGTTCAAAGGACGTGAGCTCCTTGTTCTCCCTGCGCATGAGTGCTGTTAAATAAAAACAATACTCACATAAAGCTTGTAACATCTAGTGATTTTTGTCCATGTACATCGAGTCACTTGTACAGTGCATATGGACGTACTTGACCCTGAAGCCTTTGATAAGTGTTCAAGGTTTAGGATTAAATGTCCTGGTCCATCATTGGCGGACAGCAGGAGGACGTCAGACGTGTCCCTGAGTCTGCTGAGCTCGTCTCTCCTCCAGACAGCGACAAACCCACATCGACACCACCTCTGCATTACCGTCGTTAAACTGTGTGATGAAGGAATGATCCTGAAAAACAAAGAGGTCAGAGGTATTCAGAAAACAGCTGACAGAGGAAGTTTGGGTTGAATTTGTCTTATATAGAAGAAATACATATTCAGAAGAAAATTTGTGCATTTAAAAGGTTTTATCTGCAAAACTTGGATTTGCCATACTGACAATAAAAAGTTATTTCTAAAGACTTGTATGACACATTTTCAAATTGAATGTAATGGCATGAAAAGTAATATCCGTTTCCGAATCCGTTTCCGAACTGTCCCAAAGTACCTCCTACAACCCTACTTCAGCACATCTGAACTGTCCCTTTAAATGCATTGATGAACCAAATAAGAGCTTTTACTTAAAAGACTAATTAACAATAATCACCTTCACTCAAGTGTTTGGATTCATCTATTGAAAAATCATTTCAGTCTCCATTTACAATGAAATAAACATTTCAGCATTAAGAAATATCTGAAGCCACTAATCTTTATGTATGACCTTCAGAATAATTGTCATCCAAAATGGAAAATAAATGGACTGAAGTGGCCGTAAAAACACAAGTAATGAGCTTTCTCATAAAACACTCAACAAAAAAGATATTCCAACAGCTATCAAAAGAAGTTTATACCTATTCAGCAATATAATGTTTTATCATCTAACAGATTGGAGCCACAAACATTACTATGCCTTTATGTGAAGTGTTCGGTTTAGTTCTACTTGTATAATTATTCTAAACCACGAATAGAGAAATAATAATAAAAAACAAATAAACTACACAGGTACATCATTAAACCCTCTTAAATATTCATGTCCAACAGATTTGGTTTTAAATGCTTAACGTTTAAGTGATGGCTTGTCAGGGCATTCTAAAGAAATATCTTTGCAGTTTAATGATGTAGGTGAGTCATAACGGGGGTAAAATGAGCGTTCAACACAGCAACACAAACCATCTTTGTCCACTATTTAAAAATAAAAAGCTTTTGCCTCCGACATTAATTCTTTCATACGGTCTTGATCACAATCACTCCGTCAACAGTGACAATAAATTAGCTCCTGAAAACCAACAAACGTGTGGCCAGAGTCTGCCGAGTTGTAGCTCATCAACTTTGTTAAATGCTGGCAGTGTTCACTTGTTACCGCTGCAGCACAGAGACAGAGATGTCACATGTGATATCTCTGCGACAACAGTCCCAATCACCGGCCTCATCTGGGGGACTTTGCAGACCAGAGCCCGAGGTCGCAGAGGTCCCACGGGGGGTCAGAGGTGAGAGGCGAGGAGGTTGTAAATGAGACACGTCAACTGAGGCTGACCATGAATTTTATTTGTGGTGTCTAGATGTCCAATTAGATAAACAACGCTGTGGCTGGCCAGTTTAAATGAACTTGTCAACACTGATTTCCACGATATCTGTCCTTAACAACAAGAGTCTGTCACTGTTAATGGGAGTTCAGCTCCAACTGAAGCTGGCCAGACACTGTGCATGCTATTTATTAATCTCGTACGTTGTGTTAACTCACACTGTTTGAATCGGGCCTTTCATGCTCACACTGTACGCATCAATTGACCCCCTGCTGCTCAGACTGACGACAGTATGGAACTCCGGGTCGGTTTTGTCCGGTGACATCTCATATAAAGTTAATTCGACAAGACGACGACCTTCTCAACAGTGTTGAAGGAAAGGCAGAAAGGCAGCATGACTTTGTGCATACGATGAACAGGAAGTAAGAGGAGAAATGAGGAGCCCCAGATGACTAGAAGTTGCAGACAATATGATCGGTTCGTTCTGTTCTCACAGCACAGACTCAACGGTTTTAACCACAACATGGAAAATACAACTGCACTGATATTTATACGATAAGCACAGCGGCCATTGAACCAAGGAACGTCTCAAACTGCAAGACAGCCGACTACAATTTTGGAGATGCAAGAAATCCATCTGATCCAGACTTTTAAGGCAAATAATCAGTCGTTACGACTTGTGTCCTCCCTCAAAATGCACCACAAACTACAACCCAATCAGGAAGGAATTTGGCCTGATTCTAAAGTTGGTTGGAAGCGACCAATTTTGGGCTAAAATCCAGTTTAACCTGAACAGTGTCTGCCTAGTTTAAGACATTGACAAAGATTTTGGCTCAGTTATTCGGTGCCTGCCAGGTCAATATGAGAATAACTAGAGATATATTGGTATCTGTGTAGATGTTAACCAATAAGTGACGAGTAATTGCAGGAAAGAATTATTAAATATCTGTTTTAAAACAGCGTACAATGTTTTTGGCCATCAACTCCTGAGGAGAATATCTGTCTTTTAAGGGACTCCACTTTGTTCATCAGCTGGACGTTAACGTGGTCCGTCTGAATTTTGGTGCTGGAAGTGATTTCAAAGTGAACGGTGTTGTTGTCAGCTGTTTCTTCAACGTTAAAATCCCCCCCAGCAACACCCAAACTAGTGCACACAATGTAAGATTAGCTACAAAGTAGGACACACTGGCAGTGACGGTCCACTTTCTTCCTCCTGGGATCATTCCTGTCTATTTGCGGTTACACTGGAAAATATGCTAAACGGAAGAATATGCACAGTGTATCAAAATAAAGTCACATGAAGGGTGAATACATTTGTGAGTTATTGTGGTAAATCCACTTTGTTTCACTTCTGCTCTTTCTTTTCTCACTACTGTTACTTTTGACTGTGATAATACAACCCCCACATGTTTGGTCTGGTGTAGATCTATATTTTAAAGGAACATGTTAACACATTCCAGCGTGCTCTAATCCTGCACAAACTGTAGAGATTGTGAAGGACTGGGGGGAGCCCCATCAATCCTGTTGTCCTTCTAATGGGCAGCTGGGGTTAACACAGTCTGAGGTTAATTACTCTCATATCAGTGTGTGTGTGTGTGTGTGTCAGTATGAGACGGGTGGAGTGGACGCTCCTGGGTGCCCCTATGTGCTGAATACCCATCTCATCCATCATTCTTCCTTGCCTCTGTAGAGAGGGTGCAATACAGAAATAAAGAAGGAAGTCCTGAAATCCAGCGCTTCACCTCTGCTCCAGAAATTAACCCCCGATAGGCCAGAGACAACTGCTGGAATCTGACCTGGATGAAGGTGCTTGGCTCATCATACACCCCCCC